AGCCCCTAGTAGCGTCCTTGTTCCTAGTAGCGATGCCAGGAGCCCCTAGTAGCTTCTTGTTCCTAGTAGTAAGGCCAGGAGCCCCTAGTAGCGTCCTTGTTCCTAGTAGCCTCTGGCAGGCTAACAGGCCCTGAAAGGCTTTCTGTGCGAGGCACACTGTCCAACTGGTCGAAAGGCGGCGATCTCGCCTGCCCCGTCTTCGCAGCTTCGAACATGAGACGAGAACTGCGAAGCATTTCCAAGCGACGCGTGAATGATGTCAAGATGCGGGATGGAACGGAGGCTCAGTGCATCTTCATGAGAGCAAAGTTGAGCAATGATCAGAAAGGCTTCGACATGTATCGACACGTTCTTTCTTCAAATGCCAGTAATTCATTAGTAGGGTATTGAGGAGCAGTTGTGACAAACTTGTTCAGTCTGAATCCAGGCTGAACAAAGTCCCACCACGGCAACACTGGTGCCGCAGCACCCAAATTCTGTCATAACCGCAGTCGTCGCTGGACAAACAGTCCATAACTAGTAGTGTCTTAGAAACTGCAGCTTCCAACTTATGCTTCTCCTCGGACTTCAATTGTCTGATGGTACATTAATAATATGCAGATGGAGGCTTGACCACCCCTAATTCCAAGATTAAGTACACCTTTGCTGTACATTCTGAAACCTGAAGACAAACAATCGGGGTAACGGTATAAATGTCTGGAAAGGGTACCTGATGGTTTATCAACATGTACATGCATCTTCCAATAATCCCAAACAGGTTCCCTGCGAAAGCTGCCCAAATTACAGTAACTGAAGAAACGAGTGCAACAATCGAAGGTCCAACACCTAGAATACAATGTGTTTTACCATTTAGCAACCCCACTCACGGCATTCAAATATATCAGGAACACTCAGGAACTGTGTCAATGTAAACAAATGAACGCAGTGTAAGCAAACCTGCACATCCCTCGAAAAGCTTCCTGCTTCCAGAAACCACCCCAAATAAGAGCCTGTTGAGGCGGCGTGCCGCGGGGTTCACAGACACTGATATCCAGCTGATGGGGACCGAGAGGAAAGCAGCCAAAGATGCCTTCAAACAAGGCGAAGCAGTGAAGAAATGACTCAGATTCGTTGTTCCAGCGAGACTCCTGCAAAAGTACGACCTAGTTTTCGAATCTGGACTGTCTACAAGAAACAGAAACTTGCAAGAAACCGAAGAACATGGTCAATGCGCCCGGACACCTTCATGGCACTTTCCAACTGAGATGGACTTGCACCAGCCAAGGTCAGGGTCATGGAGCCTCAACGGGGCTCGCATCCAAAGGTGAAGAATTTGGAAGGCAAACAGAGATCCAAATGGAACTGTGAAGGATGTGTTTGAAGATGATTGAAGTGTGGACCTCTGTCTGGGACCTGGAAGCTCTTTTCAACAAGGTCCTGGAGCATCGGTAACTTTGTCCAATCGATATGAACGCACATCGCCTTTACCCACTCTGGTTTCGTCACCCTACTCAATCATGTTCTCCCGAAGTTTCGGACAGCGATAACAGGCTTCATTAGGTTGTGTCGTGTACTGCCTCTCTCTCTCTCTCATCCGCCTGTGACGAGGGCAACAAAGCTGGTGCTATCTGCAGTGTCTGGGCATTCCTTGGAGCGTGGCGTTAGAGACTTAGGTCTCGACGGAGTGGGACCCTGGGGCCGATTAACAATGGATGCATTTCTGTCAATGCATCAAGCATATACTACATAATATGCATATACAATCATATACATATTATACTCTATTCCATTATATTCCACAAAATTTTCAGCCAAGGCATCGTAAGGCTTCGGGCCTTCCTTCATGCCAGATGCACTATCAAGATATCCAAAATGATGATTCTTGGCCCTTGGCCCCCCTGCAGAGATTCAGCCAAGCATCAGATGCATTCTGCGTGAACATCGCCAAGTAGATCATCTGAGTTTTGCACAAACCAACAAACCAGCAAGACGTTTCAACCCCCTTTGCAGGCTGTCTGTCTCTAAGAGCATTGGTGGTGTCAAGCTCAAGTCTACATCTTCAGGGTTCACAAACCAAGCGCCAGAGTCAACACAGCGAGTGTGCCAAGGTACATATTGCTCCACTTGGCTTTCATCCAGCGGTGGTGCCCATGTCAATGTTCCTCCCAAGTCAGTCTCATCCAAATCGAAGTCAGGAAAGCTTATATTGGAGACCTTGGCTCAGTTGGCTTGAGTGAGAGCAAGAGCCGAGCTGTACCCTATTCTGAAGCAAAAGCAAACACGCCTGGTGATGCTGGGACAAGCATCATCTGGCTTCTCACCAACAAAGCTCAAGCTAATCCGTCTCAAATCACTATCAGTAAGCCCGCTACTGGTGCAAACTTGTCCTCCACTGCAAGGGCAACAGGTGTAGTTTGCTCTGTCAACGTGGAGGTGGTGTAAATCGCCTTAGCAATTCTGCAGGCTCAAACAGAAACATCGGCCATTTTATGGCTTTTGTATGCTTTTGTCGTTCTGTCATTCTCAAAACCTCATTCAACGATCGTTATATAGATCTAATTACATCGTTTAACGAGCCAAAGTGGCTAGAAATGGAGCTGCTTCAGTCTCAGGCGGCAAATCCTCCGCTGACATCGTCTTGGGCAGCTCTGCAATCAAAGAACGTTGCAGGCCGTAGTCCGTGGACGAGAGGTAAAGACGGTACGTGTAGACCTTGGACATGTCACGTCCACCTACCAAAAATGCTCATCTCATGTCATGTGATCTCATTCTTTGTGATCTTCGTGGCAAGTTCACCGTTCCCGTTTGTAAGGCATGTGCTCGTTGCATCAGCGAAGGATGAGTCCACAGGATCCTCCCTCCAATCTCCTCGTCATCCAAGTCCTGATCTGTGAACCTGGTTCCAAGGTGTGATTTGGAACATTGAATCAGCGCAACCTTTGCTTGACCATAACCGTAGAGCAAGAATGTTTGTGCTCGTCAATAGGACTACTGAATACTACTGATCAGTGAAGATGGCATCGGACGGCTCTTCTTTGGAAAGGGAAGCCTGGTGCCGCAGGTTGTTGCCATCAGGCATCCTGATTGGCCATCAGGCGCCCCAAGCGACCAACCGAAACCATTCGAGACCTTGCCTGATGTTGGAAACGCTGGCGATCATATCCTTATCTCAGCTTCACCGAGCAAATCTTCGCTCGTCCATCGAGTGCATAAAAAATGAGCAGCATTTCCAAAATTCCAGAAGCTTTCATGCGAACGTCAGCAATGACTAATGGAAAGTGTGCGCCATCTGACCAGCCAAAGTCATGCCTGAATTCATTGCCACGAGGCATCAAACAGGTGCATAGTAGGTGTGGTTTGCTCCACCAAGCTGGATCGTGAAAAAATGGCAAAGTAGGAGTAATTCTCCACGGCTGTGTCGACGGGCACAGTCCTCAGTGAAGAAAAAAACAATTGTGTCTTTTGGTTCAGCTTCCATGGCCTAAGTGGGCTGGAGCAAAGCTACACTCAACGGGTCCTCTCAGGAGCGTGTCTGAGCAAATCATCAAGACGTCAAGTTTCAAATTCTCAACACCCACGGGAGAGCTGCCAAAATGTCGGCGTTCACAGGTGCTGTCCATGGAGAAGGTGCTATTGCGGAAGCTGCAGTTTGGAGAATCCACGCTGACTTCGAGCATGTACACCTCATACTGGCTCACCTGCGGACTGACATCAATCAGCTGGACAAATAGTTTTTGCAAGACTTATGAGGCTTACGAATGGTACTGACCGCATTCCCCAAGAATGAAGCAGAAAGAACATGTCCCCTGACCTTCGATGTGTCTGAAGGTGCTTGCCACTCCAAAATACCTCCAAGATCATCGGCATCCAGGTCGAAATCAGGGAACACAATATCCTGCGGCAGTCTTGCAGCCTCTGTTGGAAACATGGGAGTGGGGCAAGTGCCTATTTTTAAAAAGCTCATTGATGCAACTGGGCTGTGCAAATTCTATCTATCAAGGGTGCAAAAAGTCAGTTGTTCACAGCCTACCCTCAACATGAAGCCTGTTTGCTGCAATTCATTGTTCATACTCTTGTCTGCAAGGATCAAAATTTGAATCCAACCCCACTGTCCGAGACTTGTGCCACATTGTCCACGATACTGAACCTGCATCAACGTCCGCAACTACGGGTGGGAGGACATGAGGCAGGAGCCCAGGCATCTTGCTTTGAAATGAGTTTGAAGAAATTGTTCACGCTTTGCTGAAAATGCTCCACCGAGGAACGCAACTGGCGTGCTTTGTTCAGCCAGTATTGATTTGCTGTAGACCACCTGGTGCGAGACGAACAAACAAATCTCTGAAGTTCACTGCCTGGGCATTTCCGATCAAAAACAAACCAAATAGCAATGGCCTGCAACCTAATAGCAAAAGGAACCGAATAGCGATGGCCTCCAATGGCATCTGTGCCGCGACACCACACTACACCCCTCTGAAGGCAAAATATGCAAACATGAACGTGTTGCTGAAGCTCTGTCAAGGGAACCACATGCGAAAACGCATCCAGTGTTGTCTCTGGCAACAGCAGCTGGGAGCTTCCACCCAATGGCACTTCTCCAACCTGAGACGAAGGCACACATTCTATTTCCGGTTGACCTTGCTATATCATACTCTTCAAGGAATATTGCGTGTGTCAATTCATGTCATTTCTTCATGCTGTCAGAGTTAGTTTGGTTGTATGTTTCGGACAATCTCTTGCTGTGACCTGCACATTCCGTGTCATTGCAGGCCTGCACGCGTCCAGCACCAAACGGGTCGGTGGCCAAGTAGACCATGTAGCTAACGACTCTTGCAAAATTCCTCGGGACACTTACTATGAACGTGATTGAACATTTAGGAACATGGGAAAAAATCCCATGGGCTGAGGTGGGGAAGTGCGAGCCTGCACTTACATAGACTGTACAAATCCTTGGCACATTGAACATAGTGGGCATAGTCCTGTATGCCAGCAAATTGCAAATGTGACCACTGGCCCTGACCATCAAGTGCATCCCTTTTGACACAGTCACATTACAGAAAAGTGAAATGATGTGAAATGTTATAAACATCAGCATACCAAATCTCGCTATCAAGTCTTACTCCCTCCACAAAGAGCGCTGTCCACATTCTTATCTAGCCCAAATAGGCCTCAGCCATCTTGGATCCTTTGAGTCCAAGCTTCCCTGGAGGTGTCCATGTAATCCACCCTCCGAGCTCTAAAGGATCCAAATCCAAATCCGTGAAGCTCAAGGCAGAGATGCTCGAGGAAATGTCTACCACCAACACCTGATGCACCACCAGGCTTGGGGCGTTGGAACGTCCAACCACGTGCGACCAAGAGTGGCCCCAAATCGACTTCATGAACTTGATGTGAAGATATGCGAAGAATCTATTTCGATAAAGCACACATGCGGCAAATCAATGACTTGCCTGCTGAAACTCTCTTGATTCTCCCACATTGAGACTGGAAGATGAACTGAGGTGGGTGGGGATTCAAACACAGGTTTTGTTCTTTCGGTGTTGACTTCCCTGAGATCTAAGTGGTACCAATCTACCAATTTCCATAGCCTCGCAACCTCTGAAAGGAGCTACCAGGCTACCATATACTTTAAACTTTAAACCTAGTGCTCAAGCAACCATGTGAATCCCTGCATCCTTGCCAAGGTTTGCCTTGATCTATCGAGATGTTCTGCGATACAAACCCCACCACCAGTGCAAAAATGCATCAAAAATGCATCAATAATGACGGAGAGTGTTTTCATGTTTATGGCTTTCGATGTCCTGGATTCAGGATGGAAATCCAAGAACTTTGCCCGTCTCCATCGGAGTTGTTCCGAGACACTGAGCTCGGTGTCGTCGCCTCAACCAGTACCGACCTGAAAAAAGGGAGAACGAAGCAAGTGACATGAATCGACGTGAGAATACACTGAGTGTCAATCAAGAGCGATTGTTCCACAAAGATCATCAAGTATTATTGTATCAAGTATCAATGTCAGAGCGCGAGGTTGTTTCTACTTGGAGATCTTGATTGATCTTCATGCAAACCATGAAAACCGTTTGTTGGCCAGGGTGTTTCACACTGGAATGATGTGCACTTATTGCTGCGTTTTGGCCAGTCCCGACCGGCCTGGCAAAGATGCACAAGTGAGTGAAGGCCATCAAGGGCGTGTCCGGTGGCACTGCAAAAAGGTGCACTCCCTGAGAGACATTCCCCAACAGGGAACGATTGCTGCCACTCCTGTCCTCAGCAATAGGCCACACGGGAACCCTCATTCACAAGTCTTAGGTATCGTAGAGAGCCCCCCAAAGCACACTGCGCACAAGTGTCTCTGTGAATATCTTTATTATTGGTATTTTTTAGCAGAGTACACCCTCTCCTTAACCAAAATTCCACCCCCCCCACCCTCTGATTCAATTATCCTAGGTGCAAAGCTTTTTCTACGTGTATGTGCCTATGGAAATTACAAATACATATGTTGAAAATTACTATTTGTTCGAAGTACCTACCTGAAGTACGTACAGGTCAAGGCGATGAAAAATGTAAGTCATGGCCCGTTTGCAGGCGGCACTCTTTTCGTTCCGATGACGGGCGGGCTGTGGGACGTGCACCACATGGTGCTAGAATTGGTCCAAAGGCAACCGGGAGCAGACAACGGTTCTTGTTGAACCGTTGGCAATGCTCTGTCAGAAGAGGGTTGCTTCAAGCCAACAAAGTTTCCTGAACTTATTGCCACGGCGGTCTCATGGAGGTGCGAAGAATTGCTTGTTTTGAGGCCGCTACTACATGGTTCTTCAATCATGCTAAAAAGAGAACTACTATATTATATCAACAACACTATCAATAACCTACTATTTATGACATATCAAATTGTTTAGAGTGATGTTTGTCAGGCGTGCAGACACCCTCTTCGGGCCCCGACCTTTCGGACCTTCAACTAGTTTGGGCTCCGACCTTTGACCAGTTCGGGCCCCGACCTTCAACCCGGTCAGGTCGGGGCCCGACCAATTTGTCTGGACCGGTAAGTGATCCTCGAATCTACTGGCCTGGGCAAAAAGGGCACTCGTTGAAGCGAACTAGGTAGGTCTGAACTTTGACTTGCCAACGTGATCGAGGATCACGACGCGCAGCGCTGTACAAAGCTGGGGCGGCAAAGGCACTTCCGATAGCTTTGCCTCAGGCGCCCTGGACGGAGTCAA